GTTTAAAATACATGAGCTTAGTTGAGACCAGAAAGTTCGTGAAACTGTTAGTTTTCACGTGACTGGGTTATGCTTAGAGGTCTCTAAGAACAAAAATTGATGCCTGGCTTATCTGAAGTCTAGTCTCTGCCTTGGTGCTCAAGAAATCTTTGACTTCATCAGGATACTCTGCTCCAGAGTGTCACGACTTTTGTCTGTTAGCAAGCAGAGCTCGTAGACCTTCTCCGAGTAGTTTGTGCTGAGGAATAATCCTGACACTACTGGATTAGAGAGCTGACAATATTCCTAATGTCATATAGAATGGTTTGGGTTTGGAGGGACCTCAAAGCCCCCCCAGTCCCACCCCCTGCCATGGGCAGGGACACCTTCCACCAGACCAGGTTGCTCCAAGCCTCATCCAGCCTGGCCTTGGACACTTCCAGGGATGGGGCATCCACAGCTTTTGTGGGCAACATGTCCCACTGCCTCCCCACCCTCTCCAGGAAGGATTCCTTCCTGATACCTAATCTCAATCTGCCCACCCTCAATAATAACCATCTTTCAGGTACTGGAGTCTGACTTGAAGAGAGTAAACTCTTCTTTGATCCAAGAGTTGCAGTGGGGAGGAATTTGAAACAGGCTGCAGCCATTAGCTTGTTTTGTGGGGTTTTATTATGCCTGAGGTAGAGGCTGGGAGCTCTGGGATCCAGGTGTCCTCCTCCTGCAAGGCTTTTGGAGCAGCTGTGAACACAAGTGTGTCACTTGGGCACAGGAAAACGGCTTCAAAGAGCTGAATTTGTAAATGATGCGACTTTCTCTGTCCTCAATGGAGCGCTTGTAGTGCGGGGACAGCGAGGTTGGTTTCCTGGTTTGGTTTAGCTACGGCTGCCCTCGAGGCCCCGCTGTAGGAAGCCAGGGAGCCTTGTTCTTTATGAAGCTGGTAGAACAGCTGTAGCTCTATCCATCACTGGGGTAAATAAAAGTCCAATAGAAGCCGCCTTCCTTTATCTGACTGGCAAACATAACCAGCATCCTTCATTATAAGCCTGTCATTGAGTCTTGGGAAGTTAATTAGAAGATTTCTGAGAAGGAATAATGTTCTTGCCTACGATTTTTCGTGGGGTTTCTCTTTTCCCCTGCAGGGAAAAAATACCCGAGTCCAATCACTGCAAACAACTGACAGCAAAGACAGGTTATTCAAGACAGCTTCGCCAGACACGGGTTTGTGTTCCTGCCTCCCTTAACCCGGCCTGATAGCTGGCTGTAGCCCCTGGAGCATATTCCCAGCAGTGCCGACGTGCCTTTGACGCAGGATGGCCGCCACGAATGCCGTGTGTAAATAACTTCAGGTTTGCTTATAACGGATTCCTTTGAGAGCTGTGGCCCAGTTCGTGCTGGGGAAGGTGCTGTTCCTTTGAGCGTTTGTTTACCTATTTACTGAGGTCAGCAAAGTGAGGAGTAATTATGGGATTGAGACTAACGAAAGGCATCTGATGTATGAGAGCTCCAGAGTGTGAAATTGAAAAGCGAAGTGGCTTCATGCCGTTGTTTGCTTGATAAAAACTCCTAACTTCTGGATGGCTCTTGAATATATTTTGATTTCATCGTGGCCATTTAAATGGTATTTCAGGGAGGCTTTGCATAACGTTCTGACCACAGGAAAGTTTACAAGAGCAAGTCTTGACAGCACAGATCTGGTGGGAATTTTGGGAGATGCTACTTAAGCGTTTAAAAAAAGCCGTGGCACTGGTATTGCAGCAGGTGACTTCGTATTGGTGTCGTGTCTCTCCAATAGGCAGCGATAAACATCCCCTTTCGTTTTCAGAGCCTTGGTATGAGGGGGTCTTCCAGGTGTTTATATAGATACCAGCTTGGGAAGCCAGCCTCCGTTTTTCAGAGCTGTCCTGAATTCGGAAGCACCTTCTGCTGAGCAGGTTTGATGGGTCAAACCGAACCTCCCAGATAAAAATTTTGCTGGCCACCCCTCTTGTGATGACACAAGGGGAGATTTTCTGCAGCCGAGGTCCAGTGGAATCGTACGGAACGCTCCGGCTGTAGCGTGTAGTTAGAGATGTGTACTCTAGGGGTTCCTGCTCTGGCAGGGGGGTTGGACTGGGTGATCTCTAGAGGTCCCTTCCAACCCCGTCCGCTCTGTGGATCCGTGTGTGTTGCAGCTGAAGATCAAGTCCATGCCGTACGATTCCAGGTCCTCTTGGCAGCGAACACGGACGGCTGGAGATCTGCATGCTAATGAATCTGAAAACCGGGGGGGGGAAGCGGCCGCCGTGCTCCTGCCAAAGTGCTGATTCTTACCTTGGTTATGAAGACGGAGTATCTTGTTCAGATTTAAAAATCAGCTTCTCTTACGCTTACAGTAAAAGGTTGAAGAATGTGGTCATAACCAGTCAATTAAAGCGGCATTCTTTAGCGCGTCCCCGGCTTTATGCGAAGGCCCAGGAAATGCTCCGCTAGCCGGCAGCGCCGGAACAGCATTCATCAGTCTTTGTTAGTGCAGCGAGCTGCCTTGATGAACACTTCATTAACCAGCAGAAGCAGTCTTTTAATACACTTGCTGTAGCAGTTAGGCCCTGACAGCGAGGGAAAAAAAAACCCCAACAACTCAGGAGGCCCGTCTGAGAGCTTAAACACCTCGCTGCTGCTCTGAAAGTAATCTTTGCCCCTCCTTCCACAGGCCTTTGGGTAGCAACGGTCGTTAAAATGCTCCTCCGGGCTGTCAGTTGGAGGTCTGGGGATGCAGGTGGTTGAGCAGGTAGTTCAGACGTCCCTGGGCCAGCAACACCCGGACTTAAGGAGAGACCTAACTCTGGGAGGCGCCTCTCTCGAGTCACCCCGGTGTTAGTTATTTCATCGTAAAATATGTACGTTTGAGGTAACAGTTAAAACAAATACCCGGAGGCGCCTGGCAGCGCGTGGATCCCTGGCACGCCGCGCGCGTTGGAATGGGGCAGACGTGTTTCCAGCAGCTCGGGCACGTTCGTCGGGAGCTTCAGAGGGCTAAAACTTCCTCTGAACAAATCAAAGGCTGTGGGTTGGGGTTTTTTTTTTTTCCCCCTGGGGTGCTGGGAAGGGAGGGGGGGAATGGGCCAGATGAAATCTGCGTTCCCTGTAGCTGCAAGATCTGAGAGCTGGGTTTCCTGCAGGAGTAAAACCTGAGCTCTTGCAGGATCCACCTTCGGACTCAGAATGGATTTACGCTGCAGCGAGCACACGGGGATCATTTGTCACTCTTCTACCCCCCCTTCCCTGCTTCCATTAGCAAAGGATTAGTTTGGGGTGGGGAGGGGGGAGTTACTGCTTCAGCCAAACGTTTGAGGCTTCGGTGCTCTCGCCTAGAGCCTGATCTCTTCCTCATCCAAGTCCTCCAGGAAATGAGAAACATAAGCTGCAGGTATGTTTGCGCATGTATGCAGAGCACGGTGTTTCTGGAGCGCCTGGAACACGGAGGCATCCGAAACTCTGCCCTCCTCCTCAAAATGGCTGCCAGATGTGTTGGCTGCGCTGAATTCCCTGGAGCCCGACACCAGAAATGCCGAGGTTATTACCAGTTTGGTTCTCGCCCGCGTTCTTCCTTCGCTCTTCCAGGCACGGTGTCGGCGAGAGCGCGCGTGACCCCGGACGGCAGCGGGACCTGCGGAGGCTTTCTGCCGGCCCGCTCTGGGCAAGGCTCGCTGGGACTCTGTTTAAACAAAGGAAGCGTGTTTGTTTTTACAGCTCGAAGCTTGGGAGCCTGGGCTGGGATCCTGTGCCATTTCCCTGCGCTGGGAGCGGGATTCTCAAGGAAGACGGCCTCTCCCTTCGCTGCAAAGGGCAGCTCTTACCGGCCAACGCTCGCGCATCTTACCCTCGGTGGCTTGTCGTGCTGGAGGCTTCCTAAAGCTGACCTTGGGTCTGGTGTGGTGTTTGGCTGTCAGCACAATAAACAGCGTGGAGGCTCCTGAGGCGATCCACAGTCCGGCTGCCCGTGCTTGCCTGGCTTCTCGGGCCCGTCTCGTAAGCTCCTTGCTGGTGCTCGATCGCCTCGTAACCTGGTCAGTCCCAGCTGGATCCCTTGTAACCCATTTCCCAGTGAGAAATGGAGCTCCCAGGACCCGCAGTAGCGCCTCTGCGCGTTCAGCCTGAGAGAGCAGACTTGCTGGTCTCGAGCAGGACGTTTATAAGCGTACCCGAGAGCCACGCGGCACGGCGCCTGGCTGTTTTTCTGACGGCGCCTATGCTTTGCCTGCAGCAGTCAGCAGTTCGCTGAAATAACGAATCTTAACGATAAAGAGGCGTTGGGAAGTCGTTGAGCTAGTAGTAGGGTCTGTAAAGGAAACGTATCCTCTAACACACGCTGCTCTGCCTTTAACTGAGGAAAAGTGTTGCTCAAAATAGGCCTCCTTACTCCATCTAATTTGCTTGGGTTTATTTCTAGTACCTAAATGAGAATGTCATTTCGATGTGAGACAGCTTTTAGAGTGAGTGCAGATCCGTGTGAGTAGGATGCATCTTCTGCTCGGCAGCCAAGGCAAGCTGTATACGGTGACGCTTTTAAGAGTATTTGGGTTGTCTGAAGATAGAAGGTGGTTTCCAGCCTGCCGAGGCGTGGAGTACGTGGGAAGCCGTGGGCAGACCACGGCGGCTCGTTCGGTTGGACTCGTTACAGATTCGAGGGATGGCAATGCCCGGATGTAGGACTGTGTTTTCCCCGTGGGAATCTGTGTAGCCTTACGTGGAGTAATCCAGTTACTTAAGGAGGTGTTGGCGTGTGTTGCACACATGTGAATCTTCCATTTATTTTTGCCCTCCTATCCTAAGGCTGTCTTCTGAAACCGTGGAGATGAGATGGGTGTCCTGGCAGATCAGCTTCCTGGGGATGTCGTGCTAAGGGCAGTGAAACCAGGGAGTGACACCGTAAAGAAAAGGAGGAAGTGCCCGGGAGCGGAACCTGCAGAACCACCCTGGGAAGAGGTGTTCCAGAACTAACAGTAAAACCTTGCTTTGTGTTTCTCTTGTAGCAACCCTCCGCTCAGCGAGGAAATGCTGCCTCCGGGAGAGTGGATGTGTCACCGCTGCACTGTGCGCCGCAAGGTAAAGCCTCTCGTACCAGCCGTCATCCCTGCCCTTCCGACCGTCCGTGAGAAACGCCAGCCCTGTGTTTTATACTTTCCCCGTGACATGGATGCTTATACCCCCAGAGGTGTTCTCAGAGCTGCTGGCGGTTGCCAAGGGCTTTGTTAGGAACGGGCTTAAGGAAAATCAAGGGATCTTGATGAGACCCTCCTGGTATTTTTAACCTTGCTACTGGTAACCAGAACTGAGGTGCCCGATGCGTTCTTGTCAAGCTCTGCCTTTTTAACTGTTCTCCCTCCCCCTGCTTCTGGAAAGGAGGGAGAGCTGCGGGAAGGCTCCCGATCTCCCGGGGGTGTCTGCAGGTGACACAGGAGTCCTGTTGATGCAGCTGTGGCATCAGGGCTGTGATTCTGGTTACGGTGTGTTTTTTAGAAGTGCGACTTCACAGCGGTTGCACATCAGCAGAGGGTGAAATCACAGTGAGTTATGATTTCCTGAGCTGTTGAACAGGATGGGGAGGAGATGATTGGGCAAGATTGTGGCTTGTCTTTTTTTTTTTCCCCTTGGTGCTCTTTCTCCAGGAAGCGGTCTTGCACAATGTAAACATCTTAACTGCTGTGACTACGTAAGGCCGCGTAGCAGAGGGTTCAGAAACTGCACCAAAATATCTAGCGACTGTTCCCTTGAAGTGACACCCAAAACAGATTGGGAGGAAACTTGCGTGCTCAGCCTTTTGTTCCTGAAGCGATTGCCTTCTGTTTCCAGGGTGCTGTTCAGCCATCTGCCGACAGTAAAAATGAAGGTTGCAAATCTAAAAAAAAATACGAAAATAGAGTATAAAAGGGGACTTTTTTCCCATTAAAAATTTCCCGATAACACTTTTCTCCTTTTGCAGACCACTGTAGGGCTGGGGCAGACTGGGTTTCCATACTGGTGATGCTCTCAGGCACCGGGGCAGCGCACAGTTGCCCGTAGCAGGTCATGCAGCGTCCCCCTCCTCGCAAACGCACCCCGCGCTGACTGCAGCGTGGCGTTGTCCCCTGCTGCAGTTCTCCCTGCCCACCTTGGTCGAGATTCCCGTCGCCAAGAGATAGCAGAGGGTTGTTTGTCCATCGCGCTTGTGTTCTCAAGCTGACCCTCCTGTTCCATAGTGGGTTTGGATGCGCCGTCGGTGTTGATAGGCTGCATGGACAGCGAACGGGCTACCGTGGAGTTTCTCAGTGTTGGCTAGCAAAGTAAACAGAGTTGCCTGGTTTGTCAAGTATTTCTCTTTTTATCAGGGACTAGATGCTGTGAAATGTCCTGGTGTAAACTCAAATATGGTTATCCTGAAAAGAGGGAGACACGCTTATTTTTCCCCATGGTTGGTTCCCTTCAGCTGTTTTCTCTGTACGTTAGCTACGATCAAATGGGTTTTGCTAGGTCGAGGCTTTAATAACTTTGCAGGAAAAGTTGTAGCGAGCGGCTCAAGCCTTTTCAGATGCTGTTTTGTCTTCAATTGCGTATTTGTCAAGGTTGATGTGCTTTCTTTGTGGCCTCCATGATAAGCCTGCCTATTCATGTCGTGCAGAAGCGAGAACAGAAGAAAGAGCTGGGGCAGGTAAATGGATTGGTGGACAAATCTGGGAAAAGGACCACCTCCCCCACCAGTGACGCAGACCTGTTGGACAGGTCTAGCAGCAGCATCAGGGCTAATGCGCATGCCAGGATCTTGGAAAGGAGAGCGAGCCGGCCCGGCACTCCCACATCCAATGCCAGCACCGAGACCCCCAACTCAGAGCAGAATGATGTGGATGAGGACATAATTGACGTGGATGATGACTCTGCCATTGCAGAAATGGACTGTGGGCAGCCCCAGTTGAAGCGACCCTTTGAGCTTCTTATTGCTGCTGCCATGGAAAGGAACCCAACACAGTTCCAGTTGCCGAATGAACTGACCTGCACCACAGCACTTCCAGGTGAGCCAGGGCTTGGCTGGTGTTGAGGCAGGTGTCCGCAGTGGCAATCCTGCTGCCATCTCACCTCTTTTCCCTCTTGACTCCTTGGGAGTTACGGCTCCAGGGATGGTCGGTGGTGAAAGCAGAGGATAACCCTCCAGCTGTCCGACAGCAGGCAGCCGCTCTCGGGTGTTGGCCGTGGGGACGCTGCCACTGCATGCTCCACCTCCATCGGGTCTTGTGCGAGAGCTTGCTGTTGCTTAGTCTAGATCATCAGTCTGAAGGAAAAAAAGGTCCAATTGCCAAATACTTGATTTTGGTTTATGGTATGGTACTCTAGTAACAAAGTAATGACATAGGATGTCACTGAGAGGATTAGATATAAACAGGCCTGCCTTAAACGACAGTGTCTGTCACTTAAACCTAGATTTAGTGGTTGATAAGGGCTCCTTAAGCAGCTCTTTTTGCCTTTTCTGTTTGCCTGTGCCTGAGATGATTATGTCTATCTACCAGAAAGCAAATCTCTGCTACGTGGGTAACCCAGAGCCTTTTAAAATTTACTTTCAGGTACTAGTAAGAGGAGGAGAAAGGAAGAAACCACAGGAAAGAATGTCAAGAAAGCACAACACGAGTTAGACCACAATGGTTTGGTTCCCTTGCCGGTGAAAGTCTGCTTCACATGCAACAGGTACTTGACTCTTCGGGGGAAGCTGTACCCTTCACAGGAGCAAAGTTGGTGCTGCAAAAAGTAGATGACCTGTTCCCTTCGCCCATTCCCCTTCATTACTTGCTTGCAATCCTCTAAACAACTGGGATAATCATCTTTGCTAAATAATGTGGCAGGTGTAGGTTGTCTGCAGCCCTGTGTGGCTGTAGAGGCTTTTGAAATGTAGCCTGAAGAGCATGAGCCATCTTTTCTTAGCAGAAGGATGCTGAAGACATGTTCTAAAGTGCTGGTGGTTTAGAAAATGGAGGTACTGGTTTATGGTTCATAAAGGAATTGTGCAAGGAGGTGGCCTTTAGGAAAGAGAAATCTAGCAAGAGAGGTAGAAGCCCAAGGCAAATGGGCATATTGTGTAGAAATAGGAAATCTGAAAGCTGGTATAAATTGCTGCTGGTTTTCCTGACTGCACAGAAATGCACAGATAAACCCCAATTCAATACAGCAGGGAAAACAACAAACTTTATTACAGGAACTCAGTCAGAGTGGGTTTCTGGGAATAGGCTGGAGCCTCAGGTGGGCATTTTGGAGAACAGCCCATGACTTTGTTTAGGGTGACGACTTCTTTGGAGCCTGGGGAATCGGGTGTAGTACTTCCTGAAGTTTGAGACTTGTTCCGAGAACATCGCGTTCAAGCAAATGTCCCAACTTCACACAAGGTTCACCTGCAGAAAGGTGTAATAACCCAAATCTGAGATTTCCTTCTGATCTCCGAATTTTGCTCTACACGAATCCACTCAGAACTAACGCACAAGGTCAGCCTGAACCTGCCCGGTGCTTGCAGCTCTGCAGCGGCGGTGCTTCTCCTGCCAGGGGACCTCTTTTGCACCGAGGAAGCCCTCGTGTGCGTGGGCAAGTCCTTTTGCTTTGAGTGGGTCTTGCAGAAGGTCCGTGTAGATCAGTTACAGGTCAGAAGCCTGGTTTTAGATGCAAGAAATGCAGTGGGGGGCAGTTGGTGGGGAAGGGTAAGCTGAAGCCGAGCTCGCCTGCGTGTTCGTTTCATGCTCTGTGTTCCGGATGGGAAATAAGACGCGTCTCTCTCTTTGCAGGAGTTGCAGAGTGGCACCTCTAATTCAGTGCGATTATTGCCCGCTCCTGTTCCACATGGATTGTCTGGAGCCACCGCTTACTGCCATGCCTCTGGGTAGATGGATGTGCCCAAATCACATAGAACACGTGGTGGTAAGCAGGACTGTGATTGCAGTATGGTAACTGGCTGCTGGAGTGGAACCTGGCTGGTCCATTAAAGGACAGAGCACAACAGACGTAGAGCTTCTGAGCTCTTACTGCTCCCTGTAACGCTTGTAAAGCTCCTGCTGCGAGCAACGCGCTCTCCAAAGGAATATGATGCTGCTATCTGCAGTAAAATATAAAGACGAGGGAAGTCCTTCCTGTAGCTGAAGCTGACAGCTCAGGTTGTGCCTCACTCGCAGCTTGTCTAGTTTTTGGACTGGACTCCTTTAAGATGAGCTTCCAGAACTGGGATACAAAGCAGCACAGTGCTACAACTAGGGGAAGTAATTCTTTGCATGCTTAACCCAAAAAAACTTTCATTCCAAGAGGGAGTTTTCATTTGCGGAAAAGCAGCGTACTTGAGACTTAAATACTCGGGAAACAGGGAGCTGAAACAAAAGGGCTTGTGCCCATACAAACTGCTGCTGAGGGCATTGGTGCTGCTTAGTAGGTCTCTAAATGCTTTTGTATTCACCTCCAGCAATGTGCCCTTTAGCAGAAACGGTTTAGCACTGCAGGAAACAAATAGTCTAAAGCTGAGCTGATGCTGCACTGCCAGTGCTCCGAGGCGTTACAAAAGTCTTGGGGTACAGTAGAGTGACCCGCAGATCCCTAACTCCTGTGGCATTATCTGATCACGCAGCTGAACCAGAAGAACTTGACCCTGAGTAATCGGTGCCGAGTATTTGACCGGTTCCAGGACACCATATCTCAGCACGTTGTCAAAGTGGATTTCTTAAACCGAATCCATAAGAAACATCCTCCGAATCGCAGAGTTCTTCAGTCAGTGAAGAGAAAAGGTTTGAAGGTATGTGTAAACAAGTAGGTGTTGGTGGAAAAAATCCCTGTGTATGTATTCTGGTTTGGAAGGGAAACCAGCCTGCCCCGTAGGGATAGCCTTTTGGGGCAGGAGGAAGAGGGTGGGGTCAGAATGAATGGGTTGGTGAGAGGCCTGGAAGGCAGCAGTTACTTTTTATTACGTGTAAGATTTAAGAAGCTCTTTTTCCACCAACCATAAGGTTCAGCTCTTAGAAATAACCCTTTAAATCTAGCAGGGGCAGAGAAAGTACCACACACAACCCCCTGAAGGTGGCCCTGCAGTCAGAACTGGGGCTGCTGCGTAGTCTGTGTTAAGCCCCGAAGAGTATTTCCTCCCAGAATGCCCCAAAAAACGCCATACAGGTTTCCCATCTTACTTGGCCTGTTTTGCATGACTTCTTTTATGCTGTAGCCACCAACTTGTGCTGAAGTCACGCCTGACCTAAGGGAATAAAACCTATTAATTTCGGTGTGGCTGCATCGATTTAAGCTATTCGGTCCTCGAAGCTGGTAATGTATTGTCTGCAGGGTTCCTTTGGGTCAGGAAGTGGCAAACACGACGCGCAGCGCTGCTTAGGCCCTTTGTTTGACTCGTCATTCTTGAGTAATTGTTCTCATGTGTGATCTTCTTTCTCCGCAATGTAGGTTCCTGACGCTATAAAGTCCCAATACCGGCTTCCGCCCCCGTTACTTGCGCCTGCAGCAATTAGAGATGGCGAGCTGATCTGTAACGGGATCCCCGAGGAACCCTTGCAGAAGCACCTTTTGAACACTGAGCACTTAGCCAGCCAGACGGAACAACAGGAGGTAAATGAAGTCAAATGCTTGGACTCTGTGTAGTTGCTTCGGTACAAAGATCCTCTTCCATTTCGGTCCTGATCAGAGCAGTTGTCTAGGAAACCAGTCTCCAAATCGTGGCTGAAGGTGATAGCTTGTCTCCTCTCTGACACCCTTGCCCATTAAAACTTCATTTTGGCTTTCCAGGTGAAACTCCTCGTTTTGACACTTCAGGGAAGTGGTGAAAGAGTCTTCTGGCCTTAAGAGTGGAGTCGAGGGCTTTTTGTCTAGATGTCATTTTTATTTCCTGGCTGAAGGGAAATACTTTCCAATTCCATTATGTACGGCTGCTCCCTGACACTTTTATTTGTACGTTAACGTCGCGTTTCTGGGCTGCTTTTTATTGCTGGTAGAATTGGACTTTTAAATCAAGGTCAAACGAGTGTTTAAATCTGGTAGGAAACTTCTTGCCAGATTCCACGGTGCGAAGACACGTTGCTTTTGCAGTCAGTGATGTCGTTGGGTCCTGTTGGCTCAGTTGAGGCGGTTCTGCGTTCACCGTGGAGCTTAAAACTTCAAATAAATCTTGGGGTCACCCTCTGCCTTGTGTGGAAGGTGCCCTCCAGCCCAGATTTGACAGGTGTATATTACACTTGTAGTGTGAGACAGCTCAGCGTTTCGTTCCAGCATGCTCCGGAGTAAGTTTGAGGGTTGTATTTGGAGAGAAGCCCCTGTTAGCGAAAGATGCGTGTGTTACCAGCTAAAGGGTGCTGGGAGAGGACTTTTTACAAGAGCCTGTAGTGATAGGACAAGGGGTAATGGGTATAAATTGAAATCAGGGAGGTTTAGATTAGATATCAGGAAGAAATTCTTCACAGAGAGGGTGGTGAGGCACTGGAACAGGTTGCCCAGAGAAGCTGTGGATGCCCCATCCCTGGCTGTCTTCAAGGCCAGGCTGGATGAGGCTTGGAGCAACCTGGTCTAGTGCAAGGTGTCCCTGCCCATGGCAGGGGGGTTGGAAGTAGATGATCTTTAAGGTCCCTTCCCACCAAAACCATTCTGTGATTCTATGACACTTAAGGGAAGGAAGAGTTTGGGGGTGAGGAAGTGCATCTGCTGCCTTCTCCCTCCTGTATTCTCCACTCCTCTGTGTACTGTCCCCGGCAAGCAGATAAATACTACTTTGTTTTGGTGCGTCTGGGCAGGGTTTCCTCGCGGTTCTAGATGAGCATCCCGCGGGCTCTGTAGCTCCAGGCCGTGTCGGAGCGGTTAGCAGCACGCTGAGGCAGCTGGATGTCCTGGAGCTGGGTGAGTGAAGGAGTGCTGTCTGCCTGCGGAGCTAACCTGGCGCTCTTTTCTTCTTCCCAGTGGCTCTGTAGTGTTGTTGCGCTCCAGTGCAGCATATTGAAACATTTATCTGCTAAGCAGATGACTTCGCTTTGGGACTCTGAACAAACAGAGAAGGCTGATATTAAGCCTGTTATTGTGGCGGACGGCTCACTCACCAACCCTTACCAGGCAGCTGACAAGGCACCCACACCTTCCCTCTATTCCATGTCATCCTGCACCTCAGGGATTACCAGCCAGAATTCCTTGAGCTCTTCGCAATCCCAGCAGACTTTGTCACAGGAAGATGTCAACTGCAGCTCGTGTATAGATAAATCCAAGAAGGTGTCTTCTTGTGGGACTTCCAACGGGCCGACAGCCTCTGACATCAAAGTGAACGGTCCCCATTTCTACGGTGTTTCGTCCGACTCTTCAGCACAGTTGACTGACTCCCAGAGGCTAATCGGATCTGGTAACACAATACCCGTCTTGTCTCATCGGCCAACGTGGCCTCGGCCCCTCACGCCCCCAGCGACTTGCGGGCTTCTGAATCACACCATCGGCACCATTGTCAAAACGGAGAACGTAGCAGGACCCGTTTCTTGTGCACAAAGGGGTTCTGCGCCGGTCACGACTATGCCTACGTCCATATCGAGCTCCTGTGCCAGCCTGGAGACCACCAGCACTTTGCAAAGGAAGAACGTGCAGACGCAGATAGGACCGCCGCTGTCGGCAGAGCTGCGGTCGGTGGGCTCGCCGCTGACCGCTACCAGGGCCCTCACCCCTCCGCAGGCCGATGGCATCTCCGCTGTCGGCGCCGCCAACAGATTCTGTTCACCAGCACCACCTTCAGGTACGTGCCAAACCGTCTTGGCCCTCGGGGGGCTGGGGCAGTGGTCGAGCTAAACGTTATGCCGAACTCCAGTATGCCCTAATTTAACTGGGAACTGGGTTTTCCGTGGAGAGCCGGGAGGAGTCGCGAGTCTCCCCGCTCTCAGGTCCCTTCGTGGGAGCTGCAGGGTGTGTTTTTGCTGGCTGTGTGTCCCTGAGAGCAGAGCTCTGTCCCGAGAAGCAGAATAGCAGACCAGTTTTGTTCTGGAAAGCACCAGTAGCTGTAAATCGCTTGGCTGCTCTCCCAACAACTACCCTCCCCGATGCTGCTTCAGAACTCCGTTTGGTTTTAAAGCACTGCGATGACTGCAAAACAGTCCTCCTCCCCAGAGCAGCTGTCTGACGTCTGAGCCTGCAATCTCTGTACACGGTGACTCTTCTAGTCCCCTGGTACAGAGGGGTGTGAGATCTTCAACCTGCACAGCCTTGATGCTAGAGAAGTGCGGGCTTGGGAAGCTGCAGGCTGCTTAGTGTCTGCTGGTGTGTTAACGCAGGGTAGTTACGGACTGGATACGCCATCTCTGTCCTGAGTGATACCCAAAACCCTCGCTGCTGAAGCACGCGTACCCATTCTTCAGTACAAAAACATCAAGTCAACGCTGTTGATAGCTGGTAAAGTCACAGTAACTGCCCATAACTCGAATTTTGCTACAATAAGCCTTCGCTCAGAGCATTCTCCTCCCTTCCTCCGCGCGTGCTCAACGCTCAAACTGTTGAACCCTTTACGCAGGCTGGGTTTGAAGCAGTCGCCGGGAAGCCCGCCACAGAGCACCTCTCGCAGTTCCTGGCTGCCTAGTGGCAGGCCTGCGTGGAGTGGCTGGGATCTGCAAGCCTCGGAGGCAGTATCTTTTGTATTCTTCTTTTAAAATTCCTTAATGAGTAACTTCTGAGCTTTGCCTTGTGTTTGGAAGCAGTCCCCGGAGCACTTGGCCTCCTGCTTACTGCTCAACAGACTTGCTTACGCCGAGGCTGCTAGTTGGGCCATGCCCTGCTTAGAAATGCAAGGCGGCGAGAAGTTTGGGTAGAGGAAATGAGGCCATCCTATCGAAAACTACTTGCTTGTGGTTTCAAGAGCACTGCAAACCCTACAGAATTAGGCAGTTCCTTAAGGTGTTAAATAATTGCTTTTGATGCAAAGCTTGCCTTCTACAAAATGCAGGTTAAACCATCGTTTTGGTGTAGTGTCTCCTGAGAAAGGTGTAAATATTTAGATTTTCCAGCTAACTTGATGCATATATGTATTTATAACATATGAGGGTGTGCAAGTTTGGTTCCTGGGTACAAAAATACAAATCGTGACTTTTTTTTTTTGGCTATAAGTTTCAGACTTATAGTGGTTTTACTGCTAAGCAAACCGACTCAAGAAGACATGGTATCAGCGGCTCGTTGCAGGGATTTTGTTTCCTGGCATTCGCCGTTTCAGCTGTGTGGCCAGAGCAGTAGGATTTTATTTTATAAATAATCAAATCTGCTTCTGACTGTCACATTCTTACCAGACAGTGGAATACGCCCCAGGCGTGATAATCGTGTGGAAATGAAAACGTGGCAGTTGCACTTTTTAGGCACGTTCAGACCTAGACAAGCTACTTGGCAAACGTCTCTGGGTTTAGCAAGCTCCTGGGGCTCCAGGAGACTTGGTGCTCATCTTTCCAGTCTCCGTAGTGCATCACTGACAGCCTGTCGTTGCTGCTGCTTCAGACAGGGCGTAGGAGCCTGAATGTGTAGGTGCCGGATTCCTCCGGCCGCTGGAGGTGAGAGGCAGAGGCTGGCAGTCGGTTCCGTGCTGGAGGCACACGGGAGAAAGCCGATGGCCTCTAGTTCAGGCTTTTTCCAAAGCATGACTGTGGGCAGAATTAGTCATTCCGAGCAGCTTGGAAGCCAAGCGCAGCCTGAGGGCCGGGTGCCTGTCTCGCAAACGTCACAGTGACATCTCTGCACCATCTTTCCCTGTAGATGGTAAGGTCAGTCCCAGCACCTTATCCATAGGAAGCGCTTTAACTCTACCCTCATCGCTCACTTCAAACTCTGCAGCTATGTTGGACCTCACCAGTTCCCTGAAAGCATTTATGGATGGCGGTGAGTATGTGGTTCGTTATCGGTCTCTCCCAGCCCTGCGTGTTTGCTTCCCGGGTGTATTCCATCTCTGCTGGAGGAAAAGGCCCAGAGATAAAGGGTTGCAGTCAGGTGAGGGCAGGGCTGGGTGTACATTACCTTAAATCTGTCACATGCTTCCCTGCTTGTCGTGTTGCCAAGGCAGCGAGGCCAGTGAAGTGTTTCTGCCTGAAGCAGGAAGGATGGCAGCAGCTTGTTTTCCAGGTGGAGTTCACGTGCAGAAGCCTGCAGCCCTGCCGTGCTGCAATCCAAAGCTGTTCCCGACGGGCGGGAGGTCTGGCAACAATAGATCTTGTAGTTGAGCGGTCGCCTGAGTGGTGATGCTCTAATGGGTCAGTTAATTTGGGGATTTATTCTTGCTTCTGTCAGTCTCCTAGACTGGCCCAGGGGGGGGTTTTATTTTCCTTTTGTTGCACTTGGCAATAAATTCCCAAGCTTAGTGCAGTGACCTCAGGAGGAGGAGATACCAGCAGCACAGCAAGGCTGTTGCCAGGGATGACTCCTACACCTGAAGAACAGCCTTCCTGACCCCCTTGGGTGCACCCCGACTGCTCACCCTGCCCAGACCCACCTCTCTCCTGTCGGGAAAGGCTGTTGGAGCTCTGCTTCCTCCTGCCGTTGTAACTGGCGTTGATGTGGGGAAAGCTCTTGGAAGAAGAGGTTAGCCCGCCTGCGTGCAGCCAAAAAGCAGACCCCTGTAGGGCTTCCCAAATACTTCAAAGCTATCAGCAACGGATCTGCTTTAAAGCTCGTTAATAATATTGTCTGAATTGCCCTGTTTGGTTTAATTGAGCCCACTACGAAAGCGCGTGACTCAGGAATGAGCTTCCAAGGTGGTTACAGCTTTCCACTGTAATGCAGGGTTAGGTTCTCTGGCTAGCTAAGGAAGCTTCCCAAGAAGGGCCCGACCTGCTGCCCGAACGGGCGCGATGCCCTCTGCGGATTCTGAGCCAGAACAGCAGGTTGTCAACTGGCCGGTCCTTGTTTCCCCTAGATTTCATGTAAGATTCTTGAGAGCGTGAAATTTGCTGTGTCTTCGCTGTTGAAGCTAATGGCAGGTTTGAAAGTGGGACATTTAAATCCAACGCCGCTCGGATTGCGCCCTTTCCAGGAATAACTTACTAACTGCTTTTTGTTTATTAACAGAGATTGAGATAAATATGCTGGATGAGCAGCTGATCAAGTTTCTGGCCTTGCAGAGAATACATCAGCTCTTTCCTTCCAAAGCTCAGTCTCTAGCAAGCAGTGTCAGTTCCCATCAGCAGTCTCCTGTGGGAAACCACATGGAAGGTAAGAGCAGCCCTGGAAGAGTTGGTTTATGTTGAGAGAAACGTGGGAATTCCTGCGCTGTCCTTCTGGAGAAGTTGCTTGCGGGACAAGCACACGATCAGGAGGAACTGGGGCGCAGAATGCGCGTGTGGCGGCATCACTGCCCGTTCGGAACGATGTCACAGTCCAGCTGAAACAGTAAATTGAAACGAATGAATTGGTGAAACCCTAAACGGAACTATTGGAAAACAACTTGTTGGAAATCTCCAGATTCCCGAGTTCAGCACTGGCTTTGTTTGTGGGCACTGGTGCAGCACCGCTAACACCTAAAGCTGCGGGGGGAACGTGGTTTCCTGTTCCTCTGCCTGCAGCCAGTCGATTTAATCTCCTTCCAAGCACTAACCGGACAGCCTTGTTGTGGGCTCTGCTCCCCCTCTGCTCCCCTTGTTGTGGGCCCTGCTCCCCCTCTGCTAGGCCCTGGGGCTGAGTATCTGAGATAAAAATCATTGGAAGTCTGCTAGGAGTCAGTAACCTTCTGAAACTCCACTTGCCTGCTGCTGTGGCATCACAGCATTCTCTAAATGCTTTGTCAATCTGCTGCTGTAAGACACAGCTCCCGGCTGCCGTAGGAGCTGCGCT